GGTGGATTTTAACTACTGACGGTGGCATGAGCAGCTCGATGTGGACCCACTACACTGCCAGGACTCCTAGCTCTTCAATTCACACCTGTCAAAACAGCAGTTTGGGCATCCTTGCGGTGCTTAAATCATGTCCCTTTGAAATGTTTTCTGAGTTTAGGGAATAAAAAGATGTATGAACTGGGCAAGATCAGGCCTGTAGAGTGGATGGGATAAAATTTCCCAACAAAATTTTCCTTCCTTCCTTTGCCGGATGAGCAGGCACATTACCATGATAGGAAAACATTCCTCGGCAGCTTTTCTGGCCTTTTTCTCATTGACACAGTTTTCAATCTTTAAAAAAAAATGGCTTCATTAAAAACAAACAAACAAAAAACAGCTTCATCATAAGCCTCTGGGTTCATCCTGTGACCTTCAAGAAAATCTATCAAGATGACCCGTTTGGACTCCCCTGCATCCTACCTTACTCCCAGACAACAAGAAGTTGCCATAGCCTTGAACCGGCCCAGTAGCTCCCTTGGAGGCCATGGTTTTACCGCATTCTTGTTCAGAAGGTCCCTACCAAGATTACAGCAAGTGTATTATTCTGAACTTGTTTGCAGCCATCCAGGAATCACAGGCATGTTGAAACACGTTTGGGGTGAAATAAGCCCTGCATGTATGAATTAGAACCCGAGCAGCAATACTTTCTGACCTACCCTTGTACTTGTATACCAAAGTTCATAGCAGCACTATTCACAATATCAAAAAGCTATAAACAACTTAAGTGCCCATCAACAGTTGAATGGATAAACAAAATACAGTATATAATACAATTAGTCACCCACAAAAAGAAGGGCCAACACTTGCTGTAACATAGATAAGCCTTGGAAATATGCTGAGTGAAGTCAAGCACAAAACAGTGCATGATTCCATTTACATGAAATACCTAGAATAGACAAATGTATTGAGACAGAAACTAGATTGGAGGTAGCAGAAGCTGAGGGGTGGGGGAAAAGGCAGTTATTGCTTAATAGGCAATAAAGTCTCTATTTGGGTGATGAGAAAGTTTAAGAAACAGATGATAATGATGGTAGCTGTATATCACTGTGACTACAATTATTGCCACATCTGCCTCCCTGAAAACATTTAAATTTCATGTTATTGATTTCCCCTAGGAGTGGAATTACTGGGTCATATAATTCCATTTGAAATCTATGTTATCATGTTATTAACCTAAAATAACATTTTAACCATTTTTAAGTGTGCACAAACTATATTCACTATCATGTGTTATATAATAAAAAAATAAATCCTGATCTTTTCAAATATTTTTTTTAAATTAAATCATTTTATTGGGGGCTACAATACTTTTATGTGCTAGTTATTGTTTAGTTAGACTGTAGGTATTTCTTTTCTTTTTTTTCTTTCTTTTTTAACATTTTATTAGGGGCTCATACAACTGTTATCCCAATCCATACACACATCAATTGTGTAAAGCGCATTTGTA